AAATTTTTGACTATTGCTCTCTTATTCTCCTTAAATTTTGTTAAATGCATATATTCGCACTTAGTTTTATTATATAACGTATTTCTACAAAATGGTATTTAGCACTTACAATCTACAAGCGCTTAAATCCATGCATATCACTGTAGTGAGTTTACCAGCCCTTGCTTCATATAGAGCCTTTTGACCTCTTTACGAATTTCTTCTGCAGGTGGTATTTGCTTTCTGAATCTCTGTATTCTTCAAACTGCTTTAATTCGCTTCAAGTTTTCAAGTGTACTTTCCCTTTACCTAAGTTACTTCCTTTGCTTTATTCGATCATGTTTCTACAAACTCACCTTTCAGCTGGATGTTCATTGTTTGGCGTTCGGTTTTTTTTTTCGCTTTTCACTATTTTCCCATACTGGAGTGTTTTATAAATTCCCTCTTCCAACAATCATCTGTCCTTTCACTTTTCTTAATCTTGAATAAGAGCAGCTTTACGCGCTTATGTTCAAGGACTCTTATACATTTGATAAATGTTAGGTGCTTACAATTTTTATACCTCTAGTCGCCAAAGAATGATGTAAAACCCATCATTCCCCAACTTAGTTCAGAATAATATGTTGATGTGTAGTAATGAGACAGCATCTCTACATGTATGGGATTTTGAGCTGTCTGAGCAAGAAATTGAAATGCTTTCATATTTTTTAATGAAGTTCCAGCTTGATATAGCTGTTCCAGCTTGCAACTTAAACAACAATGTCTCTGTAAGACTTTCATCGTGGGGTGGGTTCTTGCGTAATTAAAGTGTACATGATGTGGGCAATTCATAAATACGTACGTAGTACAACACAGCACTTTATTTAGAAACGAACAAATAAACAGTCATAATTCACATAAAGTTAATGGTAGAGCTAAAGCACATAAAGCTAAAAGTATAATGTTTCTTCTTGTTTGCAGCGTAATATACATCAGCCTTCTTCATGGCATCCTCTTCTTGTCTGTTCTGGTATTACGTGGCAGAGATGCGAATGCGCGCTCCGATTAGCTAAAATGCGCATGCGCGATGTTCGTCAGATCATAACAGTATCTGTATTATGTCGTCTAACAATTATTTTCTCCATTTCGTTTTCTTCTCATTTAAGTAATTTCTTCTCTTCCTAAACTACTAACATAGCATAAACTACATACTCTCTGATCAACTTATAAATTTTGTGACTCAACCTCTCGGTAATTTTTATTTTAAACCTGGAAAATGCATGTATTTTTACATTATTATTATTTACTCTTATTTAACAGATCCATAAAGACCTCTTATTTTGCTAGTAGTTATCTTTTCTTTTTGTTACACTTTTCTATTCTTGTTTTATTCACTTGCACAAGAAATATCAAAATTAAATGTTACATGTAACAGCACAAAAGATGATGTGCAAGTAGGATTGATTTGCACAGAGCAACGGTGACCTTAGTGTTCGCTAGGAAGCTCTGGTAGTTTGCTCGCCGACAACATTTGAATTACAGTCCCTTCTGGATGCTAACGTGTCCAGCAAAAAATTTAAATTTTATGGCATTTAACTTTGAATATTAATTTGCTGTAATTGCAGTTTAAAACCTAAATAAACATGTCTACCAAGAATTAGTCAAATTCAATAAGCTGTAAATCCCAGTTACATTTTAGGGAACCAACGATGGTAATAATTTCAGGTACAGTAATTTAAAATTTAACTATTTATTTGATTTGATTTAAAATCTGAGCGTCATTAACTTAATCTCAAAGTTTCTGCGCAGATATGAATACTTTAGTTAAAACACAGAGCAACTGCCTAATGCGTCAAAAATCAACATATGGATAATAACTAAGTTAAGTGGTATACTTTGACAACATATTTGACAGCTATCTACTTCCTTTAGGAGAACATTCTTCAACATTCGCAGAGAACATACTAACGAAAATAAGCATGTTCCAGTTAGAATGAAATTTTTGAAAGATACTAGGTCACATTCTTCAACATTCGCAGAGAACGTACTAACGAAAATAAGCATGTTGCAGTTAGAATGAAATTTTGTTAAATCGCATGCTGTAACTAATCCGCTCAATCATCAAGAAAAGAACCTAGAAAGAAAGCTAATGTTTGTGATGGAATTTCAGGATAGGATTATTTACTCAATTACTTCCATCCCACTTGTGATCAAAATGTGAAATCCGAAAGTTTCGTACTCTTCTTTTCCTAATTCCAACTTCTAGACAGGACATTTATATCAACGTATATTTTTAAATGTAGCCCATTTTGAAAGATACTAGGTTTATGAACATCCATGTCATTCTCGGAATTCTAACCTGGGTCGGTCAGTTTGATGGTTCACCTTTGCTAATCCGTGACAACCGCACTAACAGATGGGATTTCAGGACTGTGAGACTTGATGGTCAATAAAGTTAACTGAGATTATAATTAGAGTAAATCATTTAATTTTTTATTGAAAATATATAATACTGCACTAGCAATCTATTTTTGAAAGCTACATAATAATAATAATGAAAAAAGAAAACTTTTGAAGAATGTTTAGAAGAGAGAGAAACTGGAAGTTTCAAAGTTTGTTGTTCACAAGAGAAAAGCACTAGTTGCAAAACTTTAAGAAACGCTGATTTGGAAAGCAATACATCATCGATGCATGCAACCGAAAGCGATTGAATTCTGCCCAGATACACATTAAACAAAGCGCCTACGCTTCCTCCTTTAAAAAAAAATAAAGAGAGAAAGAAAGAAAGGAAACACGACAGAGGAAGCACTAAGACCAGGATATCACCATGGGGTTGATTTGGCATCGTAAAAAGAGGTAAATGTTATCCGGATTCGCTACTAGATGTCATTTTAATGTATCGATGACGAATAAAATGAATGCGTCTGGATTTCATATTTGCATACGAATGGGAAACAATAAATATAAAACTCGTAGAAAGAGACAGAATGCATAAAATAATAACAAACAACAACAAAAAAAGTAACCGCTTTCTTTTTCAAAACTTCGCTAAGCGAAGGAAAAATACGCAGTATAAGAAAGCTGAAGTTGAGAGGAAAAAAAATACTTCCTCGTTTATACAAACGAAAAGCAACGAGAAAAATAAAAACGGCGCCGTTCAAAAATACATTTTAACGCTAGGAGCCACGTTCTATTTACCGATCAAATCTCTATTTCCATAGGATGCTCTAAGTATACAGCGATACATAATACATCAGAGTAATACAGAAGATACGATTCTGAAGCGGGGAGTGAAGCTCCTCTCCCCCTTTTGTGCACACATGGTTTTCTTCCAAAAAGCATTCGCTTCATGTTTTCTCCCTTTTTCAAACCTGTAACCTTTTTCGTCTAGGGTAGCAGCTTTTGCAAGGTATGGACAGTCGCATGCTACCCATCCCAACGAAAGAGATATGGAAACAATAAGAAAGAATGCACTTACGATGAGAAAGCATTGTTTATGTTTAAAAGACACAAAGCAACGGCGGCGCATTTCAAATATAAATTTCTGTAATATGACATAAGGCTGGATCATCATGTATCCTATACCTTTTTCTAATCCGTTGCTAGATGATTGATATCAATTACGTATATATTAAAACTAAACTGAATTTTTGAGAAATTAAGAAAAGGGTTGAAGAACCAAAAATCAAAAATAAAATATTGGAATTGACGGCTAGATTGAAAGTATTCCATTATATAAATTCAATTCGTGTGCTTATTATTACGTAATTTGAACGGAAGCTTTACACGAAATTATTACGTCTAATTAAAGTATAAATTGTAAACCTAAAGCAATGAATGAGCAACACTGCATACCTTGGTTTACAAACAGTTCAGCTGCGAATTACCAAAGATTATCTGGATGTCAATCCATAGCATTTTATATCAATGTGCATGCTCTTTATGTGTTAATGTTTGAGATATAATTCTGATCGTTATTTAATATAAACCCAACAAAGACGTTCCAAAAAGTGATATAAGTATGTGCAGCATCCATAAATATGGGTTAGTAACAAGCTGTCATAGAGAAAATAAGCTCTTAGATGAAAGAAGACATATTCGAATGGCAGGAAAATGAGGAAACCGATCACCGACGGCAAAACAGAGGAAAATGCCAAAAGAGTGAGTCTTCTTGACAATATTTAAAATTAAGAATAATCTTCAATGAATTAACTATGTTTGAAGCGTTTTACTATTCATAAAATGAAAATGCATATGTGAGAAGTGTATGTGCTAAGCGGATACCAAACGTGTTCACGATGACACTAAAGCAGAACCGATTGAAAGCCTATCAGCCTATCTGTATCAATTGCATACAGGAAGACAAAATATTTTTCTATAATAAAGCGCAGGTTGTTGCAGCTCCATATTAAATGACAAATTCTGGAACACATAAAACTCACATGAAATACTACGACTAACTATTTGAATGTAATCACACTAAAAGGATATCAAACAGTACGCAAAAGACAGATATTAGCTGCATCGACGGCTATTTATAGCCTCTGAGAGGTTATATGTGATAACACGAGTTTGTAAATGTCTATTTTAATTGCAGTCTTATAATTATAATCTCTTTATATTTCTGTGATACCTCGTATTTTAAGTATTCAAGAATTTTATTTATCTGCATGTTTTTAATTAAGAACTTATACTCGCTGAAAATAACAATACATTATATATTCACATTATTAGTGTGACAAAAGAAGTATGACCTTAATGTTCTGACCTAATATTAAAACACTAAGCTATAGGATTACTGGTGTGAAAATATAATTTACAAAATTGTAAGACAGCTTTGTACAATACTGTACTGCTGCTGTAATTTGATAACACGATATCCAGCAGTTTGTTTGCAATTAATTCTCATAATTCCTATCAATTCGTTAAAGGTATACTTAATTTCACAAAACATATACAAATATCCGTCCTGAATAGGTTTTATATGCTACTTTGTTTCCATTTCCAGTTAAATTTCACATGAAAAATATATAACAACATACCTCTGATTTTCCTTTCAATTTACACATGCTGATATCCGCATATGAAGAAAACCATTCCAGCCTCTGAAAATAAAAGAAAAACATATTACGATTTACATTTACAGGATAAAGCATCAGAAATTACTCTCAAATTGGAAAAAAAGTTATATTTTGTACATTTCTACAAATTATCATCAACTCATTCTCAATAACTAGGCATTTGGTTTATGGCATTTATGAAAACAATCTGTTCATCCTTTTCTGAGGCTACCGCAATCCACTATTTCTATTAGGAAATAGCACACAGCACATAGCAGAAATTCTCTTATTCTATTAACTCAACGTTTGACATTCAGTTCTTACTAGGTATGTTGATATTTTTGTTTAAATATAAAATTTATATTTAGATATTAATTATTATATAATATATATATAGATATTAATTATTATATATTATATATATCATGTATATTAATTCCTTGCGCTGCAGTTATTTTCCTAGTTCACTCTCAGTCAAATTTTATTTTAACTACCGCTAATGACTGGCTGGTTATACTTTTGAATCATGTCGAAAATGGACTTACTTTCGACAAACTATTTGTTTTCTTAATTTTGGCAATGGACACAAATGCTAGCTGTTTAAAGGAAGAATATGTATAAATATGTTCCTGGAAAACGTTTTAAGCGAATACAGACAATATTGTGTGTAAAGTCCATATAAGTAGCCCATCTGCCGAAATTCGAATACGAATCAAACTGCAAGTGTTTAGTGGCCTTAAGAGTACCATCACTGAAATGCATATTTATGGTAAATTATCTTCAGAATTTAAACCAGTATACAAAGACGTGACAAGGACGCATTAAGGTTATTTATATGACGGAAAAGAGCTGAAAAGCTCTCTGCTTAAAGGAAAGGATGGCTTCGTAGAAAACTTCTCAAGGTGTTATGCTTATGGAAAACTATGAAATCTCCTGAGCAATCAGCTTATTTGAAATGTGAATTGAACTATCAATACTCAGGTGTTTTGAAGCTGGTGACATATTTTTCATTAGACGATGAACAATGCCTTCGTAAATCGAGATGAAAGAAGATGAAATTTTAAAACTTAATAGATCATATATTATTATGAAAATGTTAAAAACGTAATACATCAGATATTATGAAAATATATATAGAAATTAATATTATGAGAATATATAGATCAGATATTATTATGATGGTATTTAGAAAGTGTATTATTGAGGCTTGTATCATGTGTTAATTTTGTTTTGGGGGGGGGTGTTTTAGTTTGTCACCACTGTTCTAATCAGCAATACGTCTATGCTTCATACTCTACATCATTTCCATCGTCACGTATTTAATAATAGTAATAATCCTCCATTTGTGCTAGATAATAATCTGAATGTAAAATAAATATATAAAATAAATTTATTTATTGTACATTAAGATTTTTGCAAAGCTCCGTAATGAAAGGATTTTACAGCCGAAAATTCAAATCTTCTTATGGGATTTTAAATTTCTTTCGAAGGTTTTAAAACCGTCACTTAGCACTAATTTCAAATTTGCTCTGAGTTTTTCTCATATTTTCGTTAACCTGCAACTAAATCTTTTAAATCAGATAACATGTTTTCATGCAATTTTAAATTGAATAGTTAAGCTTATTCTAGTTAAGCTCATTTTCTCAACTTTTCATAGCTAACAAACAAATAAAAAATTCTAAATTAGCCAGACAGGTTTATAGCGGCACTTAATCTTCACGTGAAAGAGTAGTCAACATTCGGCCTAATATTAAAAAGTTCTTTTTATCCCTGACAGCTAAATATTTCTCTTTATTATGCTAACATAAGGGTAATAATGGGTTTTCGATATTATATTATTTCACTTTGTTTTATTTTTTTACTTATTTTCTATTAGGGCAGTACCAAACTTTTCACAGTCGTAAGCTTCTTGGATTTGTTCCAGCATCCGTACAATTAAGATTATAAAAATACGAATGTTTATTACACAAAATTTAAAATGTTTTAAAACTAAAATGAAAATTAACTAAAACAATTTAACTTACTACATTAATTTTTTATTTAAGAAACGAAACCTGCTAAAATATTCAGTTTTATTGTGTTAAAAATTAAAAATATAAAAAATCAGCAACAGAAAACATTGAATGGGAGAGCATGTAATTTAGATATGTAGTAAAGCAATCCTTTCATAAACGGTTAAATTTGTAATTATCTCATATATAATGTGCAATGTGCAAGTGAATGTGAGAAGTGCAAAAGCATAGTATCTTCCCAGTACTACATATACAGAGGCATAACCTTATTAGAAAACATTTTTAGTACAAGCTAATCTAACCATTTCATTCGCATATTTTGTGCTACCGATTACATATGTCAGCATGTTATACAGAGGGAGTTTACAAATTTTTAGAACAATTTCAATAAAGTATTTTAAAAAAAGCAAATGTTTTGGAATAAAAATTTCTGGCAACAGCTTACTATTTGAAACGAAAAATATTGTCTGCTATTTTTAAGTTAATACTTCTTTTAAAATGTAACATGTAATCAAGCTGTGGATTGAAGAATATTCCTATTCCATAATTAAAAAATATCGTGAAATGATGATATTAAAATTTCGAAGTGCAAAATAAGCAACATTATAACCGGAAAGGAAACAACCGCTAGCCATCATTTCTAAATGGGAAGAAGACTCCAAACGAATATGAAAACGATCTCCAAACGAAAAAAGGTACGCACTGTTTGTAATGTTTTTTAAGTTAAATTGTTAATGACAAAAGCAAATCCGCGGATGCAGAAATCAATTGCAAAGGCTTTAAATACATTTATAGCAACAATAAAGAAAATAATAAACCAAGATTTACAAATTAAAAAACCTTTAAAACGTAATATTCACCAGCTTTTGCCAAGGCATGTGTCTCAACTCAGAAGAATTTGTAAAGCCCTGTACGAAAACTATTCAGCAGGAAATAAACGGAAATATATTGTCTCTTAATGAAGCATGTAAATCACTGCAACAACAAAAAAAAAAAAAAAAAAACGGTCTATTTGTTGGCGAAAGCGAAGGGGAAAAATATATTACCTGGTTCCGTATAAGATTTATGATTGTCGAAAGATTCTCTTACGGTCCAAAATTAACAATAAGAAGGGGAAAAATTTAACATTAAAAGCAGTTCAATATGCTATCAAAATTTATGTCTTTGATAGCATATTGAACTGATATTTACAGCATATTGAAAAGATATTTACAGAAGAGTTTTCATTTCTAAATCCCAGTGACTTTCAGTGAGTGAAACTTGATCAAGACAAAGCAACAAGTCATACTTCGAAAATTACCACTGCACTTTTTGACGAAAGGAAGACTGATATAGTTACTGCATATGTACCTTTTTAATATATTTCTGCGAAATTCCGTTTCACTTTTGACCTGTGGATCACGTATGCAATACTGGGCTTTTGATCTTTCGAAAAAAGCTTTTTCTAAGCGCAAACCCGCCACGGTGGACTCTGGAAATTAGTAAAAAAGGAATGGAAATAAAACTCCGAAAAATTTTAGGGAAATCCCTTCTATCGTGGAAATCACGATACAGACTTACAGTTTAAGAAACATGCTATCAGATTGAAGCGTAAATTAAACGGCCTCAAATTCGTTCTAAAAGGTGTACACATCATGTAGTTAATGGCATCATAATGAAATAAATATGCTGAATATTAATAGATACGACTTAAGAACCCCTGATATTTTTCCGGCATTCGTTGGTTAAACAGCATCGCTTAAAACGTATGAATGTATGCATGAAGATGGAGCTGTAGATTAAAAAAATATCTCACGTAACAGCAGTTACGGTAGGACAAGTAAATGAAAAACTAAAATGCAGTAAAAATAGCAAATATCCCTTAGCAATTCTTCATTTAAAATCTCATGGCTTATGAATGAAACTTACAAGGCCTATTCGCGCCACCGCTTCGTTTTCAACATTCTATATCAGAAAATATCAGAAATGAAAATAAGATGACCTCATGCAAATTTAGGTAATGAATTCCATTCACGAAAAAGGACGAATCTCGAAAAGGAATGAGAGAAAAATCGCATGTAGAGGTCGGAGGGGAAGGGGAGGAAGGATTGAGAAAAAAAGTCGAACACTTTACCATTTCAGCAGTTTGAAGAAGGGATGAGGGTGGTAAGAAGGTAAACGGGGGGAGTGTTACTTGCATTTCATCTTTCGCGCTAACGTTGCGTTTTTATTTCCAATTTTTGTGAAGGAAAAAGAGAAGAAAAACTCTCGAAATTTAAACTCGGATTTCTGAGAATGACACGTAACCGAGTATTGCTTTTAAAACTTTGCCATTTGAAGGAAAAAAAAAACCTAATCGGAATGAATGCAGATAGAAAAATAGCGCTGGTACACAAAAAGTGAATTAGAATTTATGATGCCGCAAAATGAGATGTGATGTATGAAACGAAAGCAGTAAAAGCATTTCATGAATTCAGAAAAATAAATAAATACATTTTCTATCCTGTGCAGTTGATGCGAATCGGAGAAAACGAACATTCAAAAAATTTAGTTTTTGAAATCTGAGTATGAGATACATCTTTCAATGCATTATTATGAAAAATATTGCTACTTTAATATCTGCATTCAGATTTTTATTGAGCACCTGCATTATAATATTCGTGCACGGATTTTATTGAAAAGAACAGACATAAAGCTAGCAGCAGAAACGTAAAATCTCACACTTTTAACTCATCCAGCTTGTTTAGAGAATAAATACAGTTACAGAGAGAAAATATATTCTGACAACCGCTATAACACATCAGTCTAGATTGAAATCAGAATCATGAATGATACGAAAATTGTATTTCATGTCGAAGGCACATGTGTCCAAGAATGTACAAATTCATCTCGAATGTAATTCCCATTATTTCCCATATAACATACCCAACGTCCCCACCCCACCCACCCCAAAAAAAAGGAAAGAGCGAGAGGAAGAAAGGTTCAGAGAGAAAGAGAAATATTACAAAATAGGTAGCACTAGATAAAGATCTGCGTCTAAGCAGTTTGACGGTC